AGAAAGGGAGAGGGGGAAAAGAGGGGAAAAGAAAAAGGAGAGAGGGGAGGGGAGAAGAGAGGAGAGGGAGAGAGAGAAAAGAGAAGGGGAGAGAAGGAGAGAGGGGAGGCAAAAAAAGAAGAGGGGGGCAAGAGAGGGGAGAAGAGAGAAGAGAAGAGAGAGACGGAGGGGAGCAAAAAGGAGAGAGGCAAGAGAGAGAGCAAGAGAGAAAAGAGCAAAAAGAGACCCAAGAGAGAGAGAAGCCAAGGGGGAGAGAGCAAGGAGAAAAAGAGAGAGAGTAAGAAAAGAAGGGGAGGAGAGAGAGAGCAAAGAGGGGGCGCAAAGAGAGAGAGAAAAGGTGAGAGAGAGGAGAGAGAGGGGAGGGGAGGAGAGAGAAAGGAGAGAGAGGCAAGAGAGTGCAAGAGAGGGGAGAAAAATAGAGAGGGGCAAGGAGAGAGAGAAAAGAAAGAGGGGAGCAAAAAAGAGAGAGAAAAGAGAGAGAGAGAAAGAGAGAGAGGTGAGAAAGAGAAAAGGGAAGAGGAAAGGGGACAGAGAAGAAAAGAGAGCAAGGGGAGAGAGAAAGGAGAGAGCAAGGGGAGAGAGAGCAAGAGAGAGAGAGCAAGGGGAGAGAGAGCAAAAAGAGAGAGAGAGCAAGAGAGGGAAAAGCAAGAGGGGAGAGAAAAGAGAGAGAAAAGCAAGGGGAAGAGAGAGAGAAGAGAGGGGCAAGAGAGAAGGAAGAGAGAGAAAAGAAAGGGAGAGAGAGAGCAAGGAAAAGAAAGAGAGAGAGAGCAAGAGAGAGAAGAGAAAAGAGAGAGAGGGGGCAAGGAGGAGAGCAAGAGAGAGAAAGGAAGAGAAAGAGAGAGAGAGCAAGAAGGAGGAAAGGGAGAGAGAGGCAAGAGGGGAAGGAGAAAGAGAGAGAGAGCAAGGGGAGAGAGAGCAAGAGAGAGAGAGCAAGAAGAGGAGAGAAAGAGGGGAGGGGAAGCAAGAGGAGAGAGCAAGAGAGAGAGGAAAAGAGAGAGAGAGGCAAGAGGGGAGAGAGAGAAAGAGAGGAGAGAGCAAGAGAGAGAGAGCAAAAAGAGAGAGAGCAAGAGAGAGGGGGCAAGAGAGAAAAAGAAAAGAGAGGAGCAAAAAGAGGAGAGCAAGAGGAGAGAGAAAAAGAGAGAGAGGGGAGAAAGAGAGAGAGAGAGCAAGAGAGAGAGCAAGAGAGAGCAAGAGAAAAGGAGCAAGAGAGAGAGAAAAGAGAGAGAGGTTTTAATTACTGCTAAAAAAAGGACATAAGGGGACCAGTGTCGGAAAAAAAAAAGGAACTTGACAGACAGGGCCCCTGTTTAGGACCTGTTCTCAGAAAAAAACCCGCGGGATCTTGAATTGGTGAACCCCTTCACACGTCCCCATTAGTACTCCTTTCCCCGCCAGCAGGTGGGATTTTTTGCCTTATTTCAAGACCAAGGCCCAATCCCTGCAGCTGCCCCGTACCCCACCTTCAAGGGCAGGACCCTTTCATTTTCCCCACCCAAACCCCCACCTTAAGCTGACCACTTTTTTCATGGGAAACCAGTCTATCAGGGATCCTGTAGCCAACCCTTAGAGGTTTTAAATTTTTTTAAAGTTGGAGAGCTTTCCCCCTTTTTTTTTTGAACACTCGACGTTTTCCCACTTTTTAGCTGTTGTTTTAAAACTTTTTTGGGTGACAGGACTCCCAAAAAAATTTTTCAAGAAATTTCTGGCTTTAAACCCCTTTGGGTGGAAAAGACAGGCAAAAGGGCCCAAAGGGGGAGGTTTTTGTTTGGGGTGCTTCTTAAAAATGTTAAAGCCCCCCACATTGATGGGGGCCCCCCTACCCACTTGAAAAGAGTTTTTCAAGCTCTGTATAAACATAGTACCCCTTTTAAAAGATGTGCATGTACAGAACCCCAGTGGAACATTGGGAAACCCTATCAAATTTCCCAATGGAAAAAATTGACTCCCTTTTGCTTTCAACACAACTGTTTAAAAATATTATAATTGTTTGGGACCCCAAACCCGCACCTTATACAGAGGGTTTTTATGACCCTTTTTGCAGTTGGTTTTTTACATGGGGGAAAAAAATTTTTATTTATATCATATTTGGCTCTCCCCTTTAAACCGTTTGGAGTGATCTGGCAGGGAAAGGGCCCTAGTCACTTGTCAACCCCCCGGTACGTTGGATCGCTTTACCCCAAGGCTGTTTTTACGACATTAAGATCCCCAAAAGAAAGAAAGGGGAGGAGTCCACAAGCACAAAAAGGCTATGGGAAAGGGTAATTGGCCCCGCCCTTCGCTCTGAGCTCGCCCCACGATGGGGAAAGCTCTTCTCCAAGGGGATGTTGACAAACCCAAATGAAAAGCCTTCAAGGACAAATCCTTAAACCCACAAAAAAGGAAAAACATTGTCACCCGGGGGAAATTTTGTGAAGCCCACGATTTAGCCTTGGTTTGGCTTTCTTTGTAGAGAGGGGTGTTTTGCTAAGTACAAAGCTTTGGGGAAGGGGATAAAGAACATCCCCACCCCTAAACAGGAAATTTGGGACATGCAAGCCTGTAGGCTTTTGGGGGGATTTTCAAAAGTGGGGGATTGCTTAAAAGGGAGGTGGACACAAAAGAAAATTAGCTAAAGGGAGGGTAGGCTCCCAAAAATGGTGGTCCCCGGGGCAAAGGGCCGACAAGGTTATCTGCCTGATGAACTTAAATTTCCCTCTCTAAATCGACCCGGATGGGGGCCACCTTTACTAGTTTGTCAAAAGAAGGGGACCCGTTTGCTGAACCTTTCTACCCAAAAAGCGTTCCCGATCCGAAAAGGGACCCTTTCCCTTTGGGTAGCTGAAAAAACTGTGTAAAAAAAATGTCAGTTTGGGGACCAAAAAAGGCAGGGGGGTGCATTTCCCATTAAATCGCTTTTTCCAAGGAAAAAGGGTGTGGGCCCGGGCAAGTTGGCCCCAAGGGGTTTTTTGAGAAGAATTTTGCCCAACCAGCTAGCCGCCCCCTCTAACTGCAAACTTTTTAGCACTGTATACAGTTTAAAAGGCCCCCTTTTATGGAAAGAGGAAAAAGTTTGTCCCCTTTTACAAAAAAAAAGGGAGAGCAGAAATTTAGCAAAATAAGACCCGTGTCATCCTGTCTATCACTGGTAAAAATCCTTTAGGGCCCTTTAAACTCAAGGGCAAAGGGCAGAGTTTTTTGGGCTACCCCTCACTACTTTGTTTATCGTCTATGGGGTTCAGGAAAAGGGTTTCTTGCTGCTGATTGTTTTTAAAAAAAAACCCCTCCCAAAATGGCCCCCAGTCACTGGATGAAACCAAAAATCAAACTGTGTGGTTTGCATTTGGGCATTGCTAGCGTTTTTGAAAGGGTTTTGGCACCGGGCCCTTAGCAAAATTCAAGCATGGGAATTGCAGGCTTACACTATGTCTCCCCAGTGGGGCTCCTTCTGGGAGATCTCTAAGTGTATTTTTCCAAGGGAAACAAATCAGCAAGCATCCTATGGGGAAAGTGTTCCACAAGGAAGCGTGCTGGGTCCATGTTTGGAAGTCTCCCAAACGCCCTTTTTTCATCTCCCCAGAATCAAAAGCATATGAGCGACTGTACACAAATTCCTTTCCAAGAGAAAAATGCCAGTGCTCTAAGCTAATAAATCACCAGCTGAAGCTTTCAGCTTGGGAAAAAGAGGGCAAGAAACATTGCACCTAAAAAACGCAAATGATGAGTCTCGGGGCCCCGATTTTCGGTGCGTAGTAAGGATAATGGGGGGGATGTTGGAGGGAGAAAATTGATATCCTTGGGTAAAATTTGCCCCAAACACATGAAAAACCCATGTTTGTAAATTTTGAAACAAGGCACCCAAGAAGCTTCCCAAAAACTTCCCGATCTCCCATCTGCTTGCAGTAGGGTTGCAGTCCTAAAACGAGGCACAATACTCGCACCCTTGGTATGCCACTTTCTGGTTTGCCTGCCCCCCCCTTTCTCCTGTTGACAGAGTAGAAAACGGAAGAGTCTCTCTCCCCCTACCCCGAAGATCTGTCTTTCAGCAACCCTTTCAACATAGGGGTTTTGGGGGGCCCTTATGTTTTACAACCCAATATTGTCAAAATACCCCCTTTTGGATCCACTTCGGGGACAGCGTGAAACAATTTTTATGCCACAAGACGGCAGAAAGCACAACTTCACTCTGGCTGTCCCCTTCCCAGAAAACCCCATCTGAGATCATACATCCCCGGGATACTCGAGATGGAACACATTCGACAGGAAATGAGCAACGAGATAAATCAGTTGACAATGAAAAACTTTCCCCCAGATGGCTCCAACTTCATCCTGTTTCCTACTTGTATGTTCTTTAAAAAAAAAAATGCTTTTTAAATAGCTGATTAGGTAACAGTCTTAGCTTTCCCCTAAAATTTGGAATCCCTTAAACCCGTAAATAGCTGCATAAAATAGGGATCCCTTACCCTTTTCAAACCCTGGTAAAAAAAAACAAGGAGAGAGCAAGAGAGAGCAAAGAAGAGCAAGAGAGAGAGAAGAGAGCAAAAGAGAGAGACAAGAGAGAGAGAAGAGAGCAAGAGGAGTGCAAGAGAGTGCAAGAAGAGTGCAAGAGAGAGCGAGAAAGAGAAGGAGAGCAAGAGAGGGGAGGGAAGAGAGAGAGCAAAGGGGAGAGAGGAGCAAGGGAGGGAGAGAGAGAGAGAGAGAAGAGGAGAAGAGGAGAGGGGAGAAGAGAAGAGAGAGAGAGGAGAGAGAGGAGAGAGCAAAGAGAGAGAAAGAGAGAGCAAAAAAGAGCAAAGAGAGGAGCAAAGAGAGAGAGAAAGAGAGAGAAAAGAGAGGACAAAAAGGAAAGAGAGTGAGCAAGAGAGTGAGCAAGAAGTGAGCAAGAGAGTGAGCAAGAGGTGAGCAAAGAGTGACAAGGAGTAGCAAGGGTGAGCAAGAGTGTAGAAAGGTGAGAAGGGGAGCAAAGAGTGAGCAAGTATTGCAGATGTAAGACTGATGTGTCAGGATGACCAAATGAAAAAACATACTGTATAAACTCTCAATGTTGAGCAAGAAGAGATCCATATGTTATAGAAAGATAAGGACAAGACCTTATCACTCTGAAATTTACTTTATGATGAAGAATAAAATTCACAACACTGTGGCTGGAACAATTCACCATTAACCTATAATTAGGAAAGGAAACTTTAAACAGAATTTGGTTTCTTCTGGATCATTAGTAAGTCAGCTCAATAATGTTCCAGGACAAACCAAAATATTATCAATAGTTTCCTCTCCACATTTCCAGCACTTCTATTAAAAAAAAAAAAACGGTCTTTAGAATACATCATTAATTTCAGGCTTAAGACGCTGTTTGGGCCCTGTACCAGCTAAGTCCCATTTCATACATATTATATACTATATACAGTAAACCCTCTCATAACATTTAGAATACATTTCTGAAAATTGCCGCCATAAAAAAATAAGTGTTATGCGAAGTGAAGTACATATAAGAACAATAGGATAATGTTCCACACACCTTAAATTTGGCAGACAATTTTTTAATATTGTACTAGGTAATAATTACTACAGTTCAAAAGGGGCTGATGTGGTCCTACTGGATTGAAGTGAATAATTGTGATTTTTGTGTTGATGCGGAGACAGCACTGTCAGAAGCTGATGGTTGTACTGGCATATTCTAGCATCCCGTAGTGTGTCTTTGATCTATTCTATCCTGCAGTACTTTACAGAGTTGACAATAAGGCATCACCAGCTGATCCAGACCCCACTTCAGAGTAATCCTTTTAAATGCACAAAGGTTATTTTTCAGTGAAAAATATCTGCAACTTTACCAATAATATCCAATAACATGGAATTCTCATGTAAGTCATACACTGTTTTTCTCCATGTTCTTTTTCAATCACAGTGTCACAAAATCGCACTATGTTAAGTTACGCTATAAGAGAATTTACTGCATTTATTATTTTACTAATTAAATGGAATGTCTATCAAGTGCAAGCTAACTATTTGAGCTTTCAATGAATAACACACATGTATAAAAAGCATCAAGAGCATACAATTTCACATTCCTTCATTTCCAGTTGGATTACTGCCATCGCTAGTAGTGACCTGCAGGATTCTGGAGTGGCCACTGAAGGCAGCTTTAATAGTCCTGGGTGAGCCACCCGCCACGATGAAAGCCAACACTCCTGAGAGAATGGTAAGGATCCAGACCGTTGGGATGGTTACTGAATATGCGGGATTCATTAGTGTCTGGAAAAAACAAAAATAATAAGAGTACAGTGGAACCTCAAAAATCGAACTGCTCCCAACACAACCAATTATGTAAGTGTATTTTTGCAAGTGCTTTTATAAGTGTATTTTTGAGGGAATGAAATGAACTAATCTAATTTACATTATTCCTGATGGGAATAAATTCATTTGGTAAAGGCACTCGAACAGCCTTCTGGACTGAAGAAAGTTCGATATTTGAGGTTCCACTGTATTAGGCAGCAAAATTAATTACTAATATTTTCCTAAAATTCCCCAGTCTCTACAGGTATCTGAGTAATTATAATAACTACAATGTAAACAGAAAGGCTGAAGCCACAAGGAAGCTACTGGTGGTGCCCAGGAAATTTTACT